ATGTTTGAGATGGCTTGAGCCCTGGTCAGGGCCCTGGTCTCAGGTTGCTGCTACTAAATGTCTGTGATTCATAAAGCTCCCCTCATCTGGGACATAATATTAGAAGAGACTCACACCCGACAGTCTCTGGAGCAGGGATCCTGCGAGGAACCAATGACTCTCGGATAATAGCTGCCACTCCCCCACCCCTTTACTGATGTTGTGGTTGGTGGAGCACCTGAAACCCTTCTGGGCACATTTCTGAGAGGGGGACTCCTCCCTCATGGCCCAGCCAGGTTTCAGTAATACATGCCAGGTCTTCCCCCTCATCTAATATTATGTCCCAGATGAGGGGAGCTTTATGAATCACAGACATTTAGTAGCAGCAACCTGAGACCAGGGCCCTGACCAGGGCTCAAGCCATCTCAAACATATTGGCTCCATACACCATTAAGAAATGCGCACATTTTCTTTCGGCAGAAAGAAAACTCATGGGCTAGGAGAAAACATTCAAATTTTGCAATATAGGACTTCCACAGTTCTGAATTAGGATTGAAAGGGGTGAACGCCATAAGAGCAGTCATTTTGGTCACTCAAGTCACGCTGAGATAACTTGGTTAATTACCTCATCCCGTCAGGGGAACTGCGATCCACAAATCTGTTTCCTAGCTAATTAACTGGCTGCTCAATTTTGCTATCACATCCTTGTCGCCAATTTGTTATGTTTTAATGTACTGTCATGAGATCGATTGAGGCAAGGCATGGTTAACTATTAATTCTTTTTTGAACAATCAACTCCAACTTGCAATTAACTCAATGACAAGCACAAATGAATGCCGGCTCCCGTTTGACAGCGCCTTTAAATAGTGGCTGTCAAACGTGACTGGCCAATCAGTGGCGGGCATTACTCCAACCTATTCTGCAGCCAAACCTGCTTGCGATACTCATCAGGGGCAATGTGGCTTCTGTGGCTTCTGAACTTCTTCCGGGATACCGTGTTCATTGGCTTTTTTGGCTGCCACCACACACCGTTGGCTTATATTTCATTGGGTCTCCAGTAAGACTCCAGGATCCCGCTCACAGTTACTGCTATTAAGCACACAGATGTCCCTTTGAAGTATATTTCTAATCAGAGAAAATTGAAGAAGGAAACTTAATCTGTTTGTTTTAAAAGGCTTGCATAAATTCCATCCATAAAGATAGCATTTAAAAAGTAAGATAACCCACTGTTCAAAACCAGTCCAAATTTAATTCCGCNAATTCCATCCATAAAGATAGCATTTAAAAAGTAAGATAACCCACTGTTCAAAACCAGTCCAAATTTAATTCCGCCACTTATTTCTTCTGTTCTCCTATTTAAATTAGTTGTAAGTTTTTTTGTAGGCAGTCACTTTTAAAACAGTAAAAATTCCTCACCAGTTGAAAACACTTTCTCTTTCCGTATCCTTCCGTTTTGGAACCGTCCCGACCTCATCAGCCATTTGGCTAGATTTTTTGTCACTGGCTTCAAGAGCTTCTCTTGGATCAATCAGAGACTTTGGGATGTCCCTGTGATCAGCAAGATGTATTCTTCCTGTTCACCATTTCTACGGGACAGTTTAGGTCTGTTTAGATCACCCAGAGACAAAAGTGTTGACTGCGATCTCAGAGCATTGAGATCACACACCGTATCGTCGTGACTTTGGCTCCTCCCCCCTCTTTCCTCTTTCAATTGGGTAAAAGCCTGCCATTCCTCCATTACACAGGTATGGGGAGAGAGAGTGTCAGCAAAGTTGTCCCATGTGCTGGTCACTCAGGAGTGCCAACATCATTTCTGAAGAAGGGCCACTTGGCTGCTGACCTCCCTGTGGAAATCTTCACTTTCTTTCTCCAAACCCCTCTTCTGCAGGTCTAATTCATGGATGGCCATTCTGACATGGGTCAATCTTTCTCTGTTGTCCTCCATAATTTTATGCAGGTCTTCCATTCTGGCCTGGTAAACACAGGTCTGCTGCTGATGCAGATTGTTGAGGAGCTTCTTCTCATTTCCCCTAACATTCTGAAGAATGGCGACTTTCTCCTTCAGTTGGCTGGAGTGACTTTTCTCCACAAAGTGGAACTTTGGTCCATCTCAGCCAGTTCATGCTGCAGACTGTAGAGGTGCTGCTTAAGTTCTTAAGAAGGCTCCAGACGTCTTTGAGTAGCTTCTCAAAGATTTTAAGGCAGCCTTATCAAGTTTGAGGAAGGCCACTTGGCAAGTACCCTCGTAGATTTCTCTCTGGAGTTCTTCAGTATGTTTCACCAAAGATTCTTTCTCTGGCTCTAACTGGTGGATCATCGTGTTGGCATGGTCTAAGCTTCCTTTGTTGTCCATAATAGTTTTCTGCAGGTCTTCCATTCTGGCCTGGTAAACACAGGTCTGCTGCTGCTGCAGATGGTTGAGGTGCTTCTTCTCATTTCCCCTCACATTCTGAAGAATGGAGACTTTCTGCTTCAGTTGGCTGGAGTGGCTTTTCTCCACAAAGTGGAACTTTGGTCCATCTCAGCCAGTTCATGCTGCAGACTCTAGAGGTGCTTCTGGAGTTCTTAAGAAGGTTCCAGGCCTCTTTGAGGAACTTCTCAGAGGTTCTAAGACAGCCTTCTCAAGTTTGAGGAAGGCCACTTGGCTAGGAACCTCAGACATTTTTTTCTGGAGTTCTTCAGTGTGTTTCACCAAAGATTCTTTCTCTGGCTCTAACTGGTGGATCATCGTGTTGGCATGGTC